GCCCCACCAGGCCACCTCCCGGCTCCCGCCGCACTGGTCTCCCGCCCCAACTCAGATGGGATGGGAACTGCCCCAAACCTGGCCATCCACTGCCCTCCTTCCTCTCAGTTCAGTTCAGTTCAGTTCAGTCGCTCAGTTGTGTCCGATTCTGCGACCCCACGGACCGCAGCACGCCAGGCCTCCCTGTCCATCACCAACTCCCGGAGCTTGCTCAAACTCATGTCCATCGAGTGGGTGATGTCATCCAGCCATCTCTCCTCCGTCGGCCCCTTCCCCTCCCGCCTTCAGTCTTTCCCAGCATCGGGGAGGCCCCTCCTCGTCTGATCCCCCGAGAGCAGCTGGGGGCCCGCAGAGCAGCCTGAGCCCTGGGTCCTGCCCAGGCCGGTGGTGGGGGGCGTTGAGAAGGGGAAGGGGAACGGCAGACCTAGAGCCTGAAGAGAGAGGGGCAGGACCAGAGCAGACAGAAGTGCTGGGCATCAGGCCGGCCCGGAAGGCTGCTGAGGGCACTTCCCGGTCCCGCTGCCAAGGCCTGCGTCCGGCCCCGGACTCGGAGCCCAGCTGGCTGACGGCTGTGCACCAACAGCTTCTCCCAGCAGGCCTGCCCGCCCCTCCGGTCCCCAGAGCTTGAAGCTCCCGCAGGGCTGAGAGTTCAGGCCATGTTTGCATCACAAGTCGTGGCCGTGGAGGCTGCTTCTCTAAGGCCAGCGGCTCTCAGCAGTGGGGGAAGAGCGTCAGAACTCCCCGAGGTGCTGTTCCCAAGTGCACCCTCCAGGCCGCACCCTCGGGGTCCCAGGAAGTACTGCAGTGGAGGGCATGGAGGGAGAGTGTCAGAGTCCCCGGTGAGGGGAGTGGGAAGGGACGGCTGGCAGAAGAGCTGTGAGATCTTGAGCCCCCTGAGCAGGGCCCGCCCGGGGAGGGGTCGTCAGCCCTCCATCCTGAGTCCCACCGTCCATGCGGTCTGGGCCTCAAAGGCCCGAATCTGGGCTCCCCCGGCAGCTCCGTGTGCCTGGATGCAGCGCTGGCCCAGAAGGCCCAGGAGGGGTCTGCGGGGGCCCGCGGGGAGAACCCGACTTGGACGTCCAGCCCGCCCCGAGCACTGTTACCTACACGTGGGTTTGGTTTTAGAGACACGTCCGCAGGCCTGGCCTGGTCTGGAGGTTTCACATGCAAAGCACAGAGCTGTGCGGTTGTGCACAAGCTGCGTGCGGCTCTGTGCCTCAGTTTCCCCGTCTGTTCAGTGCGGAAACAACTTCCTGCTTCAGAAGACAGACACATGTAAGCATCCAAACCAGGCCTGGCCTGCGGACGTGTCTCTAAAACCAAACCCACGTGTAGGTAACGGTGCTCAGGGTGGGCCGGACGCGCCGGGCCGGGCTCTCCCCTCTGCCCTCCCGGGCTTTCTGGGCCAGCCCCACGTCCGGGCACAGCTGTCCGGGGCAGAGCGAGGATTGACACCCAGGTCGTGGGCTGGGCCCCCGTGGCCCTGGCTCTGTGAGCCCTGCTGGGGGTGCGGGGGTGGAGGGTGGGCGGCAGGCAGGGGAGCGTGGTGCGGGACTGCGGGACACCTGACCCTCTGTCCCCCGCAACAGGGCGGCCATGCGTGAACCCAGCCCCGCGCCCCGGAGTTTCCCTCTGCTTCTTGCTCATCAACTGACTTTGAGGAAGCCTCCGTGTCTCAGCCAAGACGTAGCTTGCTAATACACATCTATACCAGTCATGATGGCTTCTTTGCACAGAGAATGCAAGTGCCTTCTCCGAAGAGCTGGTCACCAGAAACAGCATGCCGTGTGAGGCGGTCACTTCGGTGACTCAGCCGACCCCCAGGTTCATTTTTCTCCTGGAGCTGCCTCTGGGCGGTCTCTCCCGGGACCGGCGCCCGAGATGCAGGTCACGAGGGCCCCTTGTGGACCGACCCTGGGACTGTGGGGCCTCATCCTGGAACAAGCACCTCATTGGCAGCTGTCAGCTCCCAGGGTCCCTGCGCCTCAGTTTCCCCATCTGCACAAGGGGCTTCCTCAGGCACAGTTTCCCACAATCCCTGGTCGTGGTAACGTCAGACGCGGTGACCAGGCATGCTGGGAGCAGTGCCCGCGTTAGTGTTCCCCGGAGCGGACAGAGAACAGACAGAAGGAGGACAGACAGAGGACAGAGAGGGAATCCCCACCGCTGACCCAGAGCCAGGTTTCTCTGACCTCCCTGGGGTGTCCGGATTGGGGCAGGGAAGGTACCCTGAGCGGAGAGAGGCTGCGAGTCCTCACCGGGACCTGTCTGGAGCAAAGGCTGATGGTGGTCTGAGGGGCTCTGGGGACAGGGTCCAGCCAGGCAGAGTCCGCTGGAGCTGGGGGCTGGCCCAGCTCTGCCCATGTGGACTCAGGACTGAGGATCTGGCAGAACCCACAAGCATTCAGGAATCACTGCACCCCAGGGACCCCACTGCAGCCAGAGGGAGGCCTGGGGCTGGAACCTCAGCGACAGGGCCCCTGCAGGGGGTGGGGACCCCCCTGTACCCAGAGAGTCCCCAAGGGGCCCGTGCAGTGAACACCCCTCCTCCCTCGACTGGGTTTCCTAGGAAACGGGCCAAGTGCCTCCTGCCGCGACCATCCCCTCCCCCACCTCCATCTGCAGCGAGCCTTGCTTTCTTGGGGGTGGGCCACAGCTCAGCCCAAGACCCCCCGCTGCCACACTGCAGGCTGGCGCTCAGGGCCTGGGATGCGGGGGGCTGAGGACATGAGGAATGTGGCTCCTGGGGTCTCAGAATGTCCACAGCGGAACTGTTTGAATGTGGTCACAGAGGGTTCCAGCATTGGGGGGGGGGTGGCTCCTGCAGCCCCTCTGAGCCAGGCCCTCTGCTCTCAGCCCAGCCCGCCCTGCACCCACTTCATAGATGGATGGGCTCCAGGCGACGCCCCAGGGCTGGCAGGGAGCCTGGGGCGGCCGAGTCTGCAGGCGGGGCACACGGGGCCCCCAGCGCAGTCCTCCGTCTCCCCACTCTCCATCCACCCTCACCCTGCGTCTGCTTCGGAGGAGTTCCTGGGGTCCCCTAATGAGGAGGTTTTGTTTCTTATAATTTCACGGGTCTGTCTTTGACTGCGCGGGGTCCTTGTGGCTGCCCAGGCCTTCCCCTAGCTGCGGATGGCGGGGCTTCTCCTTGTGGACCACGGGCGTCCCACCAGGTGAAGGATCTTCCCGACCAGGGGTCACAGCCGTGTCTCTTGTGCTGCCGGGCAGGTTCGTTTCCACTGTGCCGCCAGGGAAGCCCAAGGAGGCCAGTCTGTAATGGGAGCCGGAAGTGGGAAGCCAGCTTTCTCCCCCGAGGAGCCCGGTCAGCGCCCGGCCCTTGCCCCTAGTCCACACCACGAGTCCAGTTTGGAAAAGACACTTTCGGAGTATTTCAGCGAAACTGTGACTCTGAGTACGCCCTCCGAACATAGATTCCGGGCCCAACGACCTGACCCTCGAGAGGGGACGGGCACCGTGAGAACCGGAGCTGGCGTCCTGTCTTCTGGCCGGTGCCCTTGGAACAAAACCCTTCCAGACACCACCCCACACACACCCGCAAGGCAAACCTGCAGAGACAGGCCTCCCAGGAGTGATGCTGGGAGTGGAGGGGGACACTTAGGGGGAGACAGGACTCCCGGGACAGTGATGCTGGGAGAGGGGAGACAGGCCCCCCAGGAGTGATGATGGGGGAGGGGGAGACAGGACCTCCCAGGAGTGATGATGGGGGAGGGGGGACAGGCCCCCCCAGGAGTGATGATGGGGGAGGGGGAACAGGCCTCCAGGACAGTGATGCTGAGGGAGGGGGGACAGGACCTCCCAGGAGTGATGATGGGGGAGGGGGGACAGGCCCCCCCAGGAGTGATGATGGGGGAGGGGGAACAGGCCTCCAGGACAGTGATGCTGAGGGAGGGGGGACAGGACCTCCCAGGAGTGATGATGGGGGAGGGGGAGACAGGACCCCGGGACAGTGATGCTAGGGACAGTGATGTTGGGGGAGGAGAGACAGGACCCCGGGACAGTGATGCTGGGGGAGGGGGGACAGGACCCCCAAGGAGTGATGATGGGGGAGGGGGAGAGAGGACCCCCAGGACAGTGATGCTGGGGGAGAGGGGACAGGACCCCCCGAACAGTGATGATGGGGGAGGGAGGATAGGCATCCGGGACAGTGATGCTGGGGACAGTGATGTTGGGGGAGGAGAGACAGGACCCCGGGACAGTGATGCTGGGGGAAGGGGGGACAGGACCCCCGGGACAGTGATGATGGGGGAAGGGGAGACAGGACCCTGGGACAGTGATGATGGGGGAGGGGGGACAGGGCCCTGGGACAGTGACGGTAGGGGAGGGGAGACAAGCCTCCCGGGAGTGATGCTGGGGGTGCAGGGGGCGGTCAGGGGGAGATAGGACCCTGGGACAGTGATGCTGGGGTCCGCACACTGCACCATCAACCCTGACCACCTGTTTCCTTGGCCTGGCTGCAGGGTGTGAAGCCCTGTCTGCCTGGCTACACCCACTTTGAGCCCCGGGAACCGGGCCCCCAGCACCCCCACCGGGAGGAGTCCGGGGTGGCCAGTGTCCCCACGTCACAGATGAGCAGTGAGACCCAGGGCCCTGGGAGTGCAGGGTCTGTCCAGGGCTGCCCACTGGGCAAGCCTGGCAGGAAGGGCGGGGGCACACCCCACAGGAGGCCCTGGGGGTGGTGGAGGTGCTCGCCGGGGCCACAGCTTAGGGCGGGGGCTTCGGGATCTCACCTGCAGAGGCCTCGCCAGCTTGGAGGCAGGGGCTGGAAGGTGGGGCGTGGGGCAGGCAGGCAAGCCGTGGCCACTCCTGAGTGCCAGCTGCCTTGGTCCTGCGGGCCCTGCACTGGGGTGTGATGCCAGGCTGGCCACTCTGCTGGGCGCCTGTCCCCCCAGGCCGAGCGGTGCCCTCGGCCACCTCTGTCATCACAGAGGGATAATGACACCGCCATCACCAGCAGGGGCGGGGAGCCGGGGGGAGAAATAACCAACAGACCCAAGTTCCCCAAATCAGCTTATTGCCACAAAGGGAGTAAAATTCAGGGGCCAGAGCTGACCTTCTGTTCGCATTTTCCTTGGAAATGGGGAAGAAGTGCAACTGCCCCTGCCCCCACCCCAGGAGCAGCCGCAAATGACACTGGGATCTGGAATCGAGCTAAGGGGTCACTATGGTGTCGGCCCGAGACCATGAGTCTGCAGGCCGGCTGGCACAGGGGCACATGGCCGGGGTGCCCAGTTAAAACAGAGAGACCGAGAGGGGAGGCACGCTGTGTTTCAAGAGCGGCAGACTTGCACTTCCGAGCATGGGAATTTAAAAACAAAACAAAAGATGTGAAGATAAAGGAGAAAAAAAGAAACGCAGGTGAAAGGTGAGGAGCGCGAGGAACCCGGCCCGCCGGTCACCCGCTCCGCACACGCTGTCCCCTCCTGGCCCGGTCTCCGTGCCAGGACACCTCCCCAAACACACAGGCCTCTTCTCGGCCTGGGAAGCCTGGCCCCCCAGGACTCCGGCCAGCGAGCGTCTCCAGCACCACCCTGGACCCCGCTGGCCCTCCACGCACACGGGGAGCTCGCCCTCAAGGGCTGCCAGCCCTCCCTTCAGATGTCCGGGAGCCCCCCACCCACCACAGCCCGCCTCCGCCTCGGGGCCTCGCATGGGCCTCCTCCCGGCCAGGCACGCACCCCCAGCCCTCTGGGCCAGGGGGCCTGTGTGGCTCAGGCCTGGACAGTGCCGCACGGGACGTAGGGGTCTCCGGGGGTGGATGACGGGCCCCGATGTCTCATCTTTACCGTGAGCGTCTGAGCCACACCAGACGCGCCGACTGGAGACCCCTGGAGCCGACTGCAGTCCAGACGCCCGTTTGCTGGGCTTATGCTCGCCGACCTGCAGCCTGACTTCACTAGCATGGTCAGAAGCTGTTTGGGGGGTGCAGGGTGAGCCCCCAGGGGAGGACCCCCAGCAGAGGTCTCCCCGAGCTTTCCTGTTTTCAGAGGACTTCCCGTAAAACCGCCGGGACCCAGGGTCTCCTGTTTTTCTTTTCTTTCTCCTTCCCTCGTCTTTGGATCAACCTTCCTGAGCTCGAGTTCCTGGTCACAGATTAAGGCAGAAAGCTGCATTTCACAGGGTCCGGAGGGCTTCTGGAGCCCCTGTCCCACACGCCCCCACCCCTGCCCTAGGGCAGCTCGGGCCCTTGTCACGAGAGCTGGTCTCCGGCAGGAACCGTGCCCACGCCCCTGGCTTCCAGCCCCAGAGTCCCGCCTGGAGTCCAGAGACAGGCTGGCCGAGGGGACAGGGCGGCGGCGTGGCTGGAAGACCAGCTGGCAGCATCTGGCACTTGGTGCGTCTGTGGTTATTCCCTAGAGTCGCTCACTTTACACGAGATTGTCAAATGCATCGGCCGGCGGTTTGCGTCTCCCTGTGATCTAACACAGCTGTGTGTCTGTAACACCTTTTCTGTTCTTTTTTTTTATGATTACTGGTGCACTTTTCTCATCAGTCTTGCTGGGTTTGTCTAGTTTATCAATTTTTTTCCAAGAATCGTTTTTCATTTTCCCAGCCCAAATCTACTGGTGTTTTATTCTGTTTCATTAATTTCTGGTCCTTTACTTCATCAGTTTCTTCTGTCTGCATTCTTTGAATTTATTCTGATGTTCATTTCCAGCTCATTGAGGTAAACGCTCATTTTCCTTATCTTTTCAATTTTCCTCTTTTCTCATGACCACACTGAACACCATTCATTTTCCTCTAAGTACACAGTCCTGGGTGGTATCCTGTGGGTTTTTATATGCAGTGTCTTTATTACTGTTTCGTTCTAAATAGTTGGTACTTGTTTTGATTTATTGTTTAATTCACATTATTTAGATTTGTTTGTGAATTTCCAAGCAGATGGATTTGAGGAGGTTATCCTCCTGTTAATTTCCAGCTTTATTTGCCTCGTGTTTGGAAAATGTGTTTGGCATGATCTTTTTAACTTTAAAAAAAACTGGTTTTAAAAAGCAAAGTCGATAGAGATTTATATTCTTCCTATAAGAGAGTCAGTTCATTCAGAAGTTTTTTGAATCAAACATCAAGAAAGGTGTCCCTTTGTAATTACCGTCTTTCTCCCCAACTTCATTTTCCTACTGAAAACTAATCTCTCTTAGTAGTCTGGGGCCTATTTTCCAGGCCTGTTTTTAAATTTTACATATATATTTATATATTCATCCCTAGAGTTTAAAAAAAAATTACTTTTAATTTAAAGCAGTCTTGGAAAACTCTCAGCTAACTTTTAGTTTCTTTAAGTCACTTTGGCTTCCAAGTAAATGCTATTTTGTTTTAAAATAAATAGGTGCTTTTATTCCCAACAGGATATAAATTCTGATATATTATACTCCCATTATTCATTTTTGTATTGGTTTTCATTCATTTATATGACCACACTGGGTCTTATTTGTGGCCCTCGGGATTTTCACTCTTTGCTGAGGCATGCACAATCTTTATGTGGGCCCTGTGGGATCTCAGGGCTTCCCAGGTGGAGCTAGTGGTAAAGAACCCAGCTGCCAATGCAGGAAACATCAGAGATGTGGGTTCGATCCCTGGGTCGGGAAGACCCCCTAGAGGAGGGCATGGTGACCCACTCCAGTGCTCTTGCCTGGGGAGTCCCCTGCACAGAGGAGCCTGGCAGGCTGCAGTCGGTGGGGTCACGCAGAGTCGGACACGACCAAGTGGCGGAGCACACACACGCCTTTCGTTGGGGCGGGTGGGATCTTTGATTTGCCGCTCGTGGGACCTGGCTCCCTGACCAGGGATGGAATCTGCGCCCCCTGCTGTGAGAGCGCAGGGTCCTCGCCACTGGACCACCAGGGAAGTCCTTCCTTGTTCATTCTCAAGAAATATTTCATCTTCGTTTTGGTTTACATTTTAACTGAAAAGTTGTTTATAAAAGAAAGTCTTAAAAAGTTTCCAGTTTATAGTTTAAGAGCATGGAGGTAGATGGAAAACTTTCTTCTACTTTCTAAGAGAACTAGGCAAGGATGTAAAGACAATGTAAATTTGTAAATCTGTAAATCCATAACACACGTTCAAAAAAATCTCCAAAGACCGAAGTAAACTATGAGTAGATCGTCGCCCGGATACTCAGAGGGAGGGAACTGACCCCACCCCAGCGCTCCCAGGAGCTGCGGTCAGGTTCTCAGGGTCGGTGGAGAAGGGCTTGCTGGTGACCACCTCTCTGCCTGTACTGGTCCTCGGGCTTCCTCGGGGGCCTTGTCCACCCACCCCCACGCCAAGGTCATTCCCTCCATTTCCTGCTGCTCTGGCCCAGGACTGGCGGCGCTGGGTAGAAACACTCCCAAGTAGAAGTCTGCGTGTTGGGGGAGCTGTGAAACAGAACTCCCAACCTGCAAAGCAACAGCCCACCACATGGGCTACCTGTTGAGATAAAGCAAATATATATATATAAAGGGATATGATAAACAGAAAACAGAAAATAATTGGGAGCAATAGATCCTAACGTAACTGGGATCACACGCAGTATAAATGGGGTAGTGGCTCCAAACAGAAGACAGAGAGTCTTAGAGGAATTAAAAAAAAAAAACCCAGTAAGATGGAATCTAGGAGCACGTGTGCATGAGTGTTGAGTTGTGTCTGACTCCTCGCGCCCCCGTGGACTGTGGCCTGCCAGGCTTCTCTGTCCATGGGATTTTTCAGGCAAGAGCACTGGAGAGGGTTTTGCCATCTGAGCGAAATGCGTCTCCTGCATCTCCTTTGCAGGCAGGCTCGTCACACGCTGAGCCATCGGGGGAGCCTGGATTCTACCAGAAACACACTTAAAGAGACGGAAATAAAGGGATGAAAAAAGAAACAGGCAAACAAGGAAAGCGAGACAGTCAGCCTGGATTTTCAGCCTCAGAAGAGAGAAACAGGGGACCCAAGGCAAACGCTTTCTAAGGCATAAAAGAGGACATTTTTTTTTGTTAAAAAAACAATAAAGGGACTTCTTGGCAGTCCAGTGGTTAAGACTCCACCTCCTAATGCGGGAGGCACAGGGTTGAGCCCTTGTCAGGGACCTAAGATCCGGCATGCTGCCTGCAGTGCTGCCAAAAATTTAAAAATAAAGAACAGTGAATTGAGGATATATAATACTACTAATAAGCATATGTTCACCTAAAGGAAATTAGCCCTGAATACTCACTGGAAGGACTGATGCTGATGCTGAAGCTCCAGTACTTTGGCCACCTGATGCGAAGAGCTGACTCATTGGAAAGACCCTGATGCTGGCAGGGACTGGGGGCAGACAGAGGAGAGGGCGGCAGAGGCTGAGCTGGTTGACCAGCATCACTGACCCAATGGACGTGAGTCTGAGCAAACTCCAGGAGACAGTGAAGGACAGGGAAGCCTGGTGTGCTGCAGTCCATGGGGTCGCAAAGAATCGGACATGATTATTGACTAAACAACAAGAGCACATAACAACAGAAAAAGCTATGGAGAAATATGGATAACTGCAAGACTTCATTTGAAGATGTAACACATCTCTCACAAACATGAACAGGTCAGCCAGGCAAGCAGCGCGAGCTGATAGATGCAGGAAGCGTTCTGCCCAACAAAGGGAAAATGTGTGGCTTTTGAGCACATATGGAACATTCACAAAATCAACCATATATTAAAACACCAATGAAGTCTCTCTAAATTAAAAAAAAACAATATCATATGAGCCAGCCTCTAACCAAACTGTAACAAAATAAAATCAGGAACAAAAGACCAACTTCTAAAAATTCCCATATCTCTGAAAAGAGGAGAAAAATTGCAAATAAATAAAATATAGACCAAGAAGAGACAATAAGTACAGACGTGAAAAATATTTCCAAGTAAATGGATATTGTGAACAGCTATATGTCTAACAAATTCAAAAAGTTGGACAAAACAGATAAATTCCTGGCAAAGCATAAAATGTCAGCGTCAAAGCAAGAAGAAATAGAAGACGTAATTAGATTAATAACCATTAAAGAAGTTCAGTTCAGTCGCTCAGTCGTGTCCGACTCTTTGCGACCCTATGAATCGCAGCATGCCAGGCCTCCCTGTCCATCACCAACTCCCGGAGTCCACTCAATCTCATGTCCATCGAGTCGGTGATGCCATCCAGCCATCTCATCCTCTGTCGTCCCCTTCTCCTCCTGCCCCCAATCCCTTCCAGAATCAGGGTCTTTTCCAATGAGTCAACTCTTCGCATGAGGTGGCCAAAGTATTGGAGTTTCAGCCTCAGCATCAGTCCTTCCAATGAACACCCAGGACTGATCTCCTTTAGGATGGACTGGTTAGATCTGATTAAAGAACTTAAAATATACCAAATACACACCTTCCCAAAACATCAGACCAAATGCATTTTACAAG